TCACGTAGACATGTGGGGGCGTGTTTAAACGAGGCGTTTTAGGAGGGCGTGGACGAGTCTTAACTTTTAGAAAGAATATCTCTTTGGGTTTGAGACTTTAGTCTTTGCAACTTTAGGGATCTTATCTATTCACGAACAGCTTGTAACACTCCAAAGAGAAAGGAAAACTTGAAATCGCATCATATGACCCCTTTAACAGACAACTTTTAATTTTAATAATATATTAGCAAATGTTGAAATTAACATTATAATTAATAAATGTTTTAGATGTGTTTTTCATTGTTAGTTCATGTTAACTAATGTAGTTAACTAATGTTAACAAATGGAACCTTATTGTAAAGTGTTACCACGTTTTCTATAGTAATATTTATAGTAACTGTGAAAAGTACATTTTATTTAGTAATTTTATTCATTGTATTATTATTATTATGTGTGAGTAGCTCAAAATGATCATATTTTAGCACCTGCAAGACTATCCTTTATTTTAACAAGCAGAATTGAAAGAGAGAGAGACTAAACGGAGGGAGCGTGCGATACCATTAATGTGAGACTGACAATGGAGAGATACTATTATAAAGAGCAATCCCCCTTTGTGCTAGTGCATATCCTGTCTGAGCATCATCGCAGTGGATTCAATTTATGAGGCCTTCAGCGGTGGATAAGAAGGGAAGCTAGAGAAAGCGTCAATTTCCACAGCTTCTTAAAAGTAGGGCAGCAGGATTCACAGCGGGAGTCTGGGAGGACGTCTGATTGGCTGAGGTAAAACAACCGTGTTTAATAAGCAGAGCTCAAGCACCTCCCACCAGAAGTGTTGAAACATTCAATGATCATGACACATGAGCATGAGCCCTGCCACTAACATCAATACACAAGAGTCTAGACAATTTATCAAGGAAACCTTGGGCGAGGATGTCAAGGACATGCTCTGCTACTCCTTAAGAATAATCACTTGGTACCACAGCCTTCAGCATTCAGTTTAAGCTTACTATACAGTAGCTGAAGACTTTCTGGATACCTAACCCACACTTAAAAATAATAACTGAGTATTAATTTAAATGCATATGCGAACAAATAATCTTTTTTTTTTTTCTTAAAATTTTTACAATGTCACTGACTTCTCAAGTATTACCACATTAACAATGAACACCATCCACTAACCAGACTTCTTAAATCTATTCTGAAGAGTTTCTATCATTTTACCAATAACACTAGTTTAGGGACCAATTCTCACTATTAACTATTTGCTTATTAGCACGCATATTACTAGCATATTTGCTAGTACTTATTAATGGCTTTTTCTGCATGATCATATTTTGGATCCCTTAATCCTAAACTTAACAACTACCTTACTAATAATTAATAAGCAGCAAATTAGGAGTTTATTGACGCAAAAGTTATGGTTAATAGTTAGTTAATAGTGAGAATTGGTCTACAAAGTAAAGTGTGACTATTGTACCATTTAAACCTCTTTACAACCAAACAACAACCTGAAATTTAGTTTTTCTTTTACTTTTCTTTCAAATAAATGTCACTTGGTTTGATATATTGTTTTATAATGCAATGACATTCATATATTTTATTTGTAAATACAAGATAAACAGGAATCATTTGACATTTACTGACCAGCACAAACAACTATGACTGCACAATTATGACAAATTATAATTGTTATTACTTCCAATGAAACTGATCACAATTATTTTGATCAATACAATTATAATTTTAAAAAAGTAGCATTTGTATAACTAGCTACACATTCAAAGTAGGCTGAGAACTATTTAGCAGCATGATAACCAAAACTGTTATTGAAATGCTGAATAAATTATGCTGAATACAAGCAACACTGCAGCACTCAAGATAATAATCACTGAAGCTGTCACTGCAAGTTCACACAGTTTGACGTGACTGTTTTGAGTCCTGAAGTTCAGTGTGAGTTCACTCCCTGAGTTTCTCACAAACACTCCTGTTACAATAAATGAAGCTGTCCATGCTGCAGAATTAATCTCTTATTCACTGTCTGTGCCTTAATGTTTATGTGAACGCTGCAGGTTTGTCGCACCGCTCTCTTGCAATGATATCTAGTGAATCCAAAATACTCTCAAATTAAATTTGATGCTTTGTTTTGGGGTGTCAAGGGATGTTTACACATATTTAACCATCTGGAGCTGTTCATTTTGGGGTCACACTTTTGCTGTTCATCAGTCAAAACAGAATATTTATTTACCTATAAAATAATAAATTATTAAATTATTTTTATTATTCAAATGAATGCAGTATTTAAGTTACAAACAGAGCAAAAGTATTTCAAATCTAATGAATACAGGCAGATTAATGCTATCTGGTGGAAAGAAAATAATCTATAATACCATTGCATACAGCCCTATATAAAGGGCTGTGTGCTCCTTGTTGCTGAGAACAATGTTTTCAGACATAATTTAGTTGTATTAGGTATTTTATTTGGATATATATTTAGACATTATCAAAGACTACTTTTGAAATGTTAAATTGAAGTGTCAGTTTTTGCATTATTATAGTCAAACCTGAACATGGAAAAAGGATTTTGTTACCCATAATCTAATTCAAACATAAAATTAAATAGAAATGTAACAAAAATGAACAGGAATGCTTGATCAGAGCTTGATCTATATGGCTCTAATCTGATCTAACCACTTAGTTGAGTATCCTCTACATTTTCATATTTTTGGTATTTCCTATTCAATTCCTATGGCAGTCATTTTTGACCATGAACAGTACAAGTGTGACTCTTTTTTAAAGACCATTTAGCATTTGATGACCATGATTTGATAAGTTTAACAAAAGTCAGCAAGTTTTGTGCCATTCCGATGAAGTAAAATAGTTTAAAATCAATCACTAATGTCTAGCACCAAAGAGTTAATGGTGAAGAATACAGTTTCTGCACTAACATTGTCTCCTAGCAGAATTACAATAATAACGCATATTTTCAAAAACCTTACATTCATAACGCCCTTACATTTATTCTTATCCTTACAATATCTTACTATTTTATCTGGGGCTTGACAGTAAAGAGCTAACATGGGTGGCAAAAATATAAATTTAGCTTATTTATTCTCTTCCAGGGCAGTCCGCCACCATTCACTAGAGTACCACGTAGATGTAGAACACGCATGCACTGCACCTTGTTTACAAGCAGAGGAATGCACTCGCATGTGACACTGTCACACAGGACACGTTTTACCTGCTCAATATATTATAATGATTTTATGTATATTTGAGTTTTAATAGGTTTTCATGTTGTCTTAGCCATTTTATTCCTCTTTTAATCATTTTAATGTGTGTATGTCTTTAAGTGACTCTGGGTCTGCCCGTCATGTGACTCATCACATGGAAACAGGAAATAGGAAATGAACAGTATAAAGGAGGCAGCATGGCAAGCAATCAGCCCCTCATTTACAAATGTGCTGGGGATCACCATTTCCAATTCTCTTCTGCTCACCAAGCCTGCATTTATTTGATACAAAATACAGCAAAAGCAGTAATACTGTGAAATATTTTTACTATTTAAAATAACTGCTTTCTATTTGAATATATTTTAAAATGTAATTTATTCCTGTGATCAAAGCTGAATTTTCAGCATCATTACTCCAGTCTTCAGAGTCACATGATCCTTCAGAAATCATTCTAATATGCTGACATGCTGTTCAAGAAACATTTTATTATTATTATTATTATTATCAATATTTTAAAAAAAAAATTTCAGGATTCTTTGATGAATAGAAAGATCAGCATTCATCTGAAATGAGATTGTGTGGTTGTCTGAATCGAGATCGCGATCTTTTAACGATTAATCGTGCAGCTCTACTTGGAACATCACTTGGATTGTATATACACTGTTGGACACTTTTGAGGCATTCACTTTGGGACTAGCAACACACTGGATTTCTTATGGACTGTTTTATGGTATGGTGCAAATGGACTCCACGTTTTTAACAGCCTAAGTTATTCTAGTTTTATTGTGTTGTTTTATGTTCCCTGTGAATATTGTAAATACACATTTGATTTTCACTTTTAAATTGTTGTCTGACTCATCTTTTTAAACACTCCAAGATCTCGCACAGTATAATCTGACCCCATTTTAACAATTGTAAATTCGACCAATAGGGCCGAACGTTACACTCAGGTGCCATGGTACTCTTGTGAACTGCGGCAGACGGACCCGGAAGAGAAGAATTGTTGAATAAAGTCATTATTTTTGTGTTCTTTGTGCACAAAGTATTCTTGTAGCTTCATAAAATTCATATTGAACCACTAGTGTCACATGGACTATTTTGACAATGTCCTTACTACCTTTCTGGGCCTTGAATGTGTCAGTTGCATAGCTGTCTTTGCAGGGTCAGAAAGCTCTCGGATTTCATCAAAAAATATCTTAATTTGTGTTCCAAAGATGAACGAAGGTCTTACGGGTTTAGAACGGCATGAGGGTGAGTAATTAATGACAGAATTTAAATTTTTTTGAACTGTTCCTTTAAGTAAAACGTACAACACACTTCTGGATCAGACTGAACGTATTAGGACCATCAGTGATAGGCCTGTAGACTAATTTAAATATCTCACCATTACATTCACGCACACAACAGACTTGCCTGTGACTGGTTACATTCTCAAACGCGTTGCACAACGTGTTGTAAACCGAATAATTACACACCAGAGTAGACCTAAATTAAATGCTGTAATCGACACTTAATTGTAATTATCTAGTACTACAATTATCCAATCAACACGTAATTGTCCAGTACTAGAGAGTTTCAATAAAAGAGAGAATACACATGTAACAAGACAACAGTATGCTCAGGAAAAAAACCATTCACTACATCTCTCTTTCCTCTTTGTGCCTTTTAGAGCCACAACTGAAGCAGGTCCACAGCATCAGGGTGAAACTAAGTTCAAACTATCACCTCAGCCTTGAACAAAACTCCCTGCGGAGAATCAAACACAGTCTGAGGGAAAGAGAGCAGACTCACCTGCTGCACAGTCCGCTTCATCTTCACCATTTTCGCAGTCTCTTTCCCCGTCACACCGCCAGGACAGCGACACACACTTCCCTCCGCAGTCAAACTTCTCTGGTGGACACGTCTGTTTGACTGCTGTGGAACAGAAAGAAATGTTTGAACAGGTTAGAGTGAAACATGCGGCAAGTAAACCGACTGGCATCGAATCATTTTGTTGATCTCACTACGTTCCTCAGATCTGTGCTGCCTGTCATAGAGAGAAATGTGAAATCGCAAATGTGATCTAAACATGCGTGGCACCTCTAAACAGAATTTTTAAATACAATTTTCAGCATGTTTTTGCTTTTTGAAGTCCATTTATACTCCCGGGAGCTTTTCTGGCTGCTGATGCACATCAGAATGAGATAGTGTTGGGGCATTACTGACTTATAGTAGTGACAGTACTCATTAGACAATTTTATGACAGAATGTCAAGTTTCCATCCATAATTGTTGATGTGTGACAAAAATCATGGTGTTAAAGTTTGGGTAGGTGACTTCGGAGAGGCTAGCAAAAGCAAGCTAGCTTTGAAAGCATAAGATCCCACCCTCCCTGCAAAATCAGTCTCCAAAGCCACGCCTCGTCCAAAACACAGGCAGACCAGAGACTAACAGTGATACGATGAGAGACGGCATCAACACTGTCAGATCACCTCATGTCTCATTCACCGGTGAGAAAACATTACAGTACAAAGCGCATAATATTACAATAATAACACCTTCCATTCTCGCTCGGTCTGCAATAGCGTAATGGAACGCTCTGATGATGTATTATGTCTGTGTGAACAGGGTGCATGGAGGTATGCAAATACATACATTGACAAGCAAGTAGGACAGTCTATCATAGTCATTGGACCGAGGAATAGGATTGGACGATCAATTTATGATCCTACACCTTCCACAGATGATATAAACACATTTAGACCACTTAAAGGGGTCATATGATGCGATTTCTCGATTTCTCTTTCTCTTTGGAGTGTTACAAGCTCTTGGTGCATAAAGAAGATCTGTAAAGTTGCAAAGACTAAAGTCTCAAATCCAAAGAGATATTCTTTATAAAAGTTAAGAGTCAACCACGCCTACCTAAAACGGCTCGTTCTAACACGCCCCCACATGTCTACGTCACTAT